AAATTAAATTCAAAATATATCAGGATATAAAACTAAACATAGGAACCCACACACTGAGAGAGTCACAATCAATTAACAACACAAAAATAAAAGTATAAAGGCGCCCAGCATAATTATATTTCAAACAAATAAAAAAAATTATAAAGTCAACCATAATCTAATATCAAATAATCATAATAGTAGTCTTTTACTTTTTACTTTTAACATTTCAATTCACTTTTAGGCACCAGTAGCGCTAGCTAAATGGGAAGGAATATTAAACACAACGAAAAATGAAAAAATTTGTTACCAAGGTGGAGACGTCTACATACCGATTCCCGAATTAAACCCAACGGAAGACTGTTTGTACTTGAATGTTTACACTCCTCTGGTAAGATGGAAGATAGTTACAATAATTAGCTGATACTGTAGTCATTTAAATATCAACAATTTTGGACATTGATATCACACTATTTTTGCTGATGTCTATCACTATTACTATTATTTGGTTAAATTCAAAGAAAAAAATAAAACATGAATAATTATAAGCTTAAGGAGCGGTGCATTCGTGGCCAAAAACATTTATTTTTTATTTACATGATAATAAAGCTATGTAAAAATGTGATTGATGCAGGTGTAGGTAGCTTCAGTCAAATTATACTCCTCTAAATATTAAAGTTGTAGTTACTTTACAATTATTTTTCAGATATCGTAATTACCTATGCATATTTTCTTATAGAAACCTGGAGATACTTCACAAACCCCATTACCGGTGTTAATATGGATACACGGAGGTGGATTTGAAACTGGAACTGGTGCTATTCAGATATTCAAACCTGGATTCGTCATTGACCATGATATTGTTGTTGTCACCATAAACTACCGTGTAGGAGCTCTAGGTAACATAAATATGAAACGCTTTTAGTAAAAACAATAACAATAATGACATTATCACTATTTTACATTAGTTAGGACCGTTAAAAGAACATTTGTAAAGCTAAAAGTTTAGAGATAATGATACAACTGAAGTAGTGCAAAATTGGTTAAGTACGTTTTTCGAAAAGAATATCCCAAGCAGGAGGACCATGTCGGTAAATAAGACGAACGGTTTCTATAAGCATATATTTATCCCTTTATTTATTTATAATATACATATTTTAGTATAATTGGTCATTTTACAAAAAAATATAAAAAAAATTGGGGATATGACAATTTTAAGATATTAACAAGTAATATAAAATATAGATGTAATAGCACTTTTCATTTTTTTTTACTGAAGACTAAAAACGAAATTAAAAAGAAAATTAAACAAATTCTGGACTTATTTCAAGAAGAAAAAATAATTATACAATAATTTCCAACTGACATAATAAACTCTTATATATATATACAGGGTGTTAATGAATAGGTGTTACAAACGGATATGGTATGTAAAAAATCCAAAAATAAGTGCAGTTTACTTAATAAACATATGTCCTAAAGCGGCTCATTTTCGAGATACAGGGCGTTGAAATTTAAAAATAATAAACTATTTTTTCCTGTAGCTCCGGTATTAGTTAATATTTCTTTATCAAACTCAACAGACAGATTTACTAGCTTAAAGGATGCATAAATATGGCAGAAACCATTTATTGGCTTCTTCTAGTGGCGTGCGATAGGTGTCGTTTCACCTTTTATCCCCCCTAAATTGTGCGGCACTGTACAAATATTAGTTTTTCGTATGTTTTTGAATTTGCTAGTATTTTTTACGTAAATAATGTATACTTGTTAGACTTCCATAAAATGAGTAATTATCAAGTTATTAACATTTACATTACTGAGGTCACCTTATGCTCCAAAAACCAAAAATTTTTAAAAAGTGACATGTTGAGTAAATTTTTCACGAAATTGTTTAGTAAATGCATACATGTGTCGCTTTTTCTTTTTGAGATACAAAACATTCAAGGTTTCCGTATTCCTCAAGCAAGTTTAAAATGTTGGAAAAAAAACATTTGCCGTTGACATTACTTGTATTTTAATGTCAAATTATTTTCGATTGTGAAACGAGGCAGTTTTTAATTATTATTGTTATTTTAGTGTAAAGTTTAGTTTGTAAGTTTTAATTATTAGATAGATATCTTTATCCATTCGTTTAAAACATTCATACATCATGAATGAATATACTTCTGCTGATTATGCAAACATGATATTAATGTACGGTCAAGCGCGTTGTAATGGCAGGGCTGCCCGTCGGTTATACTCAATCCGATTTCCAAATCGTCCAACCCCTTCACATAAGATATTTGGAAGAGTGTTTCGCAGGTTGCAGGAAACAGGAACTTTTACAACAAATAGGGTTAACTGCGGGGTAAGGAGAAACCGCAGAACGATAAGGTTCGAAGAAGAAGTTCTTAATAGGATAGAAGAAAACCAATCCACCAGCAGTCGAAGTATTGCTCAGAATATGCATGTAAACCATGTAAGCGTTTGGCAAGTTTTACGCGAGCAACAGCTTCACGCTTATCATATACAAAAGGTTCAAGCTTTAACTCCCGCCGACTTTCAGCCACGACTAAACTTTTGCCATTGGTTTCTTCAACAGTGTCAGTTGCAAGCAAATTTTCCGCGGTTTGTGCTTTTTACAGACGAAGCATCCTTCACACGAGAAGGGATCTTTAATTCTCGCAACAACCATGTCTGGGCTGAAGAAAACCCTCACACCATTCGCTCCACTAGATTTCAGCAGAAGTTTGGCGTCAATGTCTGGGCTGGTATAATTGACGGGCGCTTAATTGGTCCGCACCTTCTTCCAAATCGTCTTACAGGTCCTATTTATTTAACGTTCCTACAACAAGTACTTCCAGAATTATTAGAAAATGTGCCATTGAACATTCGACAGGAAATGTGGCTGCAGCATGATGGTGCGCCAGCGCACTTTTCGCTTGTTGTCCGAGATCACCTTAATCAACAATTCGGTGTAAGATGGATTGGCCGTGGAGGACCTATGGCGTGGCCACCACGTTCCCCAGACATGACCCCGCTTGACTTTTATTTGTGGGGCCATATGAAGAGTCTAGTTTATGAAACTCCTGTTGAGTCAGAAGAAGATTTGGTAGCACGCATTCTAGCTGCAGCGCAGGAGATCGAAACGACGCCTGGCACTTTTGACCGAATGTACACAAATATGCTTCGAAGAATTAACGCTTGTATCGCTACTGGTGGCCGTAATTTTGAGCATTTACTGTAATTTTTTTGTGCAAAATAAAAATACCTTTTAAACAACTTTAACTTTTTGTATCTCGAAAACTAGCATAGCATAGAAAAACATAGTTTTTGGAGCATAAGGTGACCTCAGTAATGTAAATGTTAATAACTTGATAATACTCATTTTATGGAAGTCTAACAAGTATACATTATTTACGTAAAAAATACTAGCAAATTCAAAAACATACGAAAAACTAATATTTGTACAGTGCCGCACAATTTAGGGGGGATAAAAGGTGAAACGACACCTATCGCACGCCACTAGAAGAAGCCAATAAATGGTTTCTGCCATATTTATGCATCCTTTAAGCTAGTAAATCTGTCTGTTGAGTTTGATAAAGAAATATTAACTAATACCGGAGCTACAGGAAAAAATAGTTTATTATTTTTAAATTTCAACGCCCTGTATCTCGAAAATGAGCCGCTTTAGGACATATGTTTATTAAGTAAACTGCACTTATTTTTGGATTTTTTACATACCATATCCGTTTGTAACACCTATTCATTAACACCCTGTATATTAAACACGTGATTTTATGTTTGTGTTTGCAAAACTCTTTCCAAAGTTGTTTAAGCCTCCAATCGAAAATTGTTCTTAACCTTTGGAAAACATCTAAATTCAGCCCAATATATAGGGTATTAATGAAGTATGTTTACACATTTAAGGGATGAATTCAGTGATTTTAGACAAAAAAGGTTACATAAACTTCGGTCCACAATCGATAGTTTTCGAGATACACTGTTGAAATTTTAAAAAATCACCATTTCTGAAATATTTTCTAGTAGTTATAGAATTATCAAAATGTTCAGTAGCGTTCAATTTCTGAGGTTTTTAGTGTAAGTAATCCCCAGTATCTCCGCCACTGGCTCACGTATTTATACCCGAATTTAGCAGATACAAACTTGACATAAGTAACTACATAGACCGGTGGCAATCATATACAGGGTGTCTCATAATTAGTGTCCAACAATTTACCACTTGATTCTAGTGCCAAAAATAAGAATATTTTTTCCCCGTAAATGGGGTCTCAAAAAATTAATTTTATTAAATATTCCCGAAACGGGTTGGAAAAAAATTATAAATTTTGACACCATGAACGCTTATTAAAAGTCGAAATAAATCATAAAATTTTTCAAAAATTGGGGGTGGTCGTCGGCTAAAATTTGCCCCTATTTTTTGCTTGTCGAAATGTTCAAATTCAAATGCCAACATATGATATATCTTCATTTCTTCTACAAAAAAAGTACCCTTTATTTATTTCGATAAAATGCTCCATTTCCGAGAAAAACGGATCTAACCATTTCATTAAATACCTTAATAAAATTCAAAAAAATGTTCTTGAATAGCTAAAATGGGTACCATTATGAATTTTAATGTCATCATATCATTATACATTATCATCTCAATATTTATTTTATTATTTATTTATTTATTTTGGATACACCATTCCACAGAAACAAAATTCCAGTTACGGAATGGGAGTACAAAGAATAATTACAATATAGAGAAATACAGAGAAAAAACAGAGATTAAACCTATATAATAAGTAAATATATAGACAAACATGTGACAAATAACATGGAGAAGACATCTACAAGATGTGCAATTTTTGTATAGTTTGAACATGCCTGAAACAATGGAGAAGCTTTTAGGAGATTTGTGCGAGGGATAGGCAAACAGAAGGTTGCAGGAGAACGCGAAGTTAACCTAGGCACATTAAAGTTAAGTAAACTTAATATCTGAGGACAGTCAAAGATGTTTTGGATTATCTTATGCAAAAAAATGATCGAGTGCATTGATCTTCTAAACCGTAAAGAATTCACGCCAAAGTGATTTAACAGAAGGTTCTGAGGAAAATTAATGGGGGGGTAATACGAATTTTCTTTATAAAATAAGTACTTTAAAAACTTCCTTTGTATGTTCT